CGCTAAAAAGGGCGCCAATAGGACTGAGAATTTTTTATAATAGAGACCGGAGAAGCCGTCGGGACCTGGGGCCGCGGAGGACCGTAAAGATTTGATCGCTTGGAGCACTTCTGGTACGGTGACACCAGAGTTGAGGGCCGCCTGTGCTGCCTCGGTTAATCCAGGAAGATGGAGGTCTTGAAAGAATGCCTCTGCCTGGGCCACAGGGAAGGGATCCGGGGCAGCATAGAGGCGCGAAAGGAAGTCCGAGAATCGGGAAACAATCTGCTGAGGATTAGAAGTACAGCCACCCGTGGAAAGTCGAAGACGAATCGGTTTATGGGGTTTCCCCACAGAATTGAGTTTCCTGGCTAGCATGGGACCGGGCTTATTAGCACAGGAATAAAATTTATGTCTGGTCCAACGCAGGGCCCTTTCGGCCTCCGAAGAGGCGAGGAGGTCCAATTCTGCCACCAGAGCGTCCCTAGCGCGTTTATGGGCCACGGATGGAGATGACTTCCAACGCGCATCCGCAGAGGCCAGGAGAGAATGTAGCTCCAAGAGCCGGCGTTCCCGCTCCCGCTTCCGAACTGCAGCCAGCTGTATAACATGACCCCGCACCGTGGCCTTATGCGCTTCCCATAGGGGCACTGCTGAAGAGACCGATCCCGAGTTTTCCGTAAAATATGTCCGTAGAAAGAATTCTATTTGTTGGCAGGTAGCCTGAGTGGTCAGCAAAGAGTCATTGATGCGCCAATGAAAAGGGCGCCGTTCTGACCCAGAAAGGGTAAGGAGGAGTACCAAAGGATCATGATCTGACCAGGGTGGAGGGAATAGTTATCCGCTGGACCGAGGGGAGCTGCTGACCTGCATGAATATATGATCAATTCTACAAAAGCTGTCATGAGGATTGGAATAGAACGTAAAGTCACGTTCAGTTGGATGAAGTTCCCTCCAGACATCCGCCAGCCCCGCCGTCCGCAAAAGAGAGCGCATACGTTCCTCCAGCACCAAGTCATGAGAGGGAGTCGCTCCCCGTGCGTAGCGCCTATCCAATGTGGAATCCAAGGTAACATTCGAATCCCCCATAACAAGAAGAAGACCCTTAGAGTGTCGAGAAAACAATGGTGCAAAGATGCGAAAAGAATTTTATGCTGGAAACGGTTAGGGTGCCTTGCAGAAGCAAATACCTGCCCGTGGGGTCCGCTATATGCCTAGAACAGACAAAGGGGAGATTGCGTTTAAAAGCTATCAGAACACCCGACACTTTTCAGGAGCTGAGGCCGTGTAAAAGATGGGATAGTGAGGTGAAAGATATCGCGGAGCGGAGGACTGGGAAAACCTGGTCTCCTGTAGACATACCACATCAATTTGTTGCGATTTGAGGTGATGAAAAACTTTAGCCCGTTTCTGAGGCGAATTGAAGCCTTGAAAATTTTGTGAATGTATTTTCAAAAGGGGCGAGGCCATGGCGGTATCAACGCAACACGCTCAGCAGAAAAAAAACCCAAAGCAGCCAACAATGTCCACTCCCAATGGCGATCGGACCATGGCGTCCCGGAACCCTGCAGAAAACAAAAACAAAAAAAAAACAGAGAAAAAGAAAAGAACAAAGAAAGAAGAAGAAAGGAAAAAGACATGAAAAGTATACACAACAGTGCAATCGTGTCACACCAATGGTGACGTGCATCCTACACATGAAGGATACAGTTAGGGGTAACTCTACCTCCGGACATATGGCTGCAAATGTAAACATCAAACAGAAGCCCTCAGGGGGCAAAAAGGCAATGAACATAATATAATATAGTAAAACTTAATAAAACTAAAAGTCCCAGGAGCAGGGACCTCCGCGATAACCTCCCCATAGAAACCCGAATAACCATAGGGGCCAACCCCCTTCCATCCTACCAAGCCCACCGGGTCAACCTCCCACCCCGGATCCCAAGGAAACCATCACCCAATGCCACCAACGTAGACCCAATTACCATCATATGGACCCAAAATAGGCTACGGCAGCAAAAAGTCCCGATTCTCAAGTCCAGGAAAAAACCCCCCTAACCCGGGATGTAACCCAAAGGAGCAAGCCGGGGCAGTCCCAACCTAGAATGTCAACAAACCGGGAAGACCCTAAGGCCAAACTCACGATCTCGTCAGGGTAGTCCCTCGGTGAGGCGATATGTGGGAGTTCCAAGGCGCATCTTCAGCCTGGAGAAGAACAGGAAGGACTTGATCGCGAAGGGGTCTGAGGGAGAGCCCCCCTCCTGTTGGACGACCGCTCCCAGATGCGGCCCAAAGGAGGAGGCCTTGCCGAGGATCCAGATGAATGAGCTGGGCTCCGATCAGCAGCTTCTGGCGAGAGAAGATGTAGAGATTCCAGGAGAGAATGGGCCTCCTCCGGCGTAGCCACAGAATGACTGCGGCCCTGGTAGGTGAAGGTGAGGCGGAACGGAAAGCCCCAGGCGTATTTAATTCTTCGTTTCACCAGGACCGAAGTGAAGGGCTTCAACTGGCGGCGTTTCTGGAGAGTGGTCTGAGAGAGGTCTGCGAAAAGCTGGTAGCGGTGCCCCTGGAAGCTAAGATCAGGGTTATTTCTGGCCGCCAAGAGGATAGTTTCCTTAGTGCGGTAATAAGTAAACTTGATGATAATGTCCCTCGGGGGCCCATCCGGTCGTCTGGGGCCCAAAGAACGATGTATGCGGTCAAATTTGAGCCGGTCAATGGGAATAGCGGGTGTCAGCTCCTGAAACAGAGCAGTAGCAGTGGAGGTAAGATCCGTGACCGTTTCCGGGATACCCCTTAACTGCAAATTGCCGCGGCGGGAACGATTTTCGAAATCCTCAAGCCGCAATAGTGCGTCCGCCAATGCCTTCTTGAGGTCGCACAGGTCCTGTTCGTGATTTTCAATGACCGTGGCCGCAGCGTCCATTTTATCCTCGAGATCATTCGTCCCATTGCCCAAATCCCGAATTTCCCGCGAAAGACGGTCGGTCCCAGCTTGGAGGTAGCGGAGGACAATTCTGATTGCAGCATACATTTAAAGCGGCGCAGGAGCTCAGCATCCCGCAGGGATGGAGTGTGAGACTGCTGGGCTGGCTCCGAATCCAGGTGTTCCCCACTGCCAGGATCCATCTCACCTGCAGTTAGTGATGGCAGGGGACCCAAATCTGCAGCCAGGGCTTCAGCTATTGTCCCCGGCAGGAACCGCGAATCCGCGGCCGGGGTCCTGGAAGCTTCCGGCGGCCGGCCCAAAATCGAGGCCGCGGCTTCACCCGCGATCTCCGGCGGGTAGGCCGCAACTTCCCGCACGGTCCGCCGGGTGCTGGAGGTGCAGGCGGCCGGCGTTTTTTTTCCCCATCAGGGTGCCAGAGGGACAGGGAGCCAGGGAGGAAGCGGAGGGACCCCCCCTGAAGGTCAAAAATCGGCCGATATGTCCGGTGGCCGAGACAGCAGAATATTAGGCAGCCATCCTGGCTGCTGCTCACGAGCGCCCCCATTTTGGTGGTATTTGATCACCACTAGGTTTTTTATTTTTTTGTGATATAAACAAAAAAGACTGAACATTTTGAAAAAAAAAAATTTTCTATTTTTGGTTATAAAAAATATCCAATAAACTCAAAATTAGTCACAAATTTTGGCCAAAATGTATTCTGCTACATGTCTTTGGTGAAAAAAAAAATCCCAATACATGTATATTAATTGGTTTGTGTGGCAGTTATAGTGTCTACACACTATGGTATATATACTGGAATTTACACAGCTTTTACTTGTTGACTGCCCATCACATTTCTTGAGGTGCTAACATGCCAGGGCAATACAATGACCCTTTTTTGGAAAGTAGATACCCTGAAGAATTTGCTGAGAGGCATCTTGAGTCCATGGAAGATTTTAGTTTTTTTGCCACAAATTTTTTGAAAATTACAATTTTTTTTTTTCACGCAAAGTTGTCACTTAAATGATATATTGCTCATGTATGTTATGGCTATATGTGGAAAAAACACCCCAAAACACATTCTGCTACCTCTCCTGAGTACGGGGAAACCATGTGTGAGAGAGACTTTTTGGCTGCCTAGCCACATACAGGTCCTCAAAATCCAGTGACCACCTTCAGGCTTTCAAAGGGGAATATTTCCTCAGTTTCGGAGGCCTTACAATGCCAGGATAGTACAACCCCCTCCCCCCAATGACATCAGAAGCTTATACCAGACAATACCCTTTCTTCTACCTGTTTGAAGAACAAGCCTTTTCTGACACTTGGTTTACATGAAAAAAACATTTTTTTTGCTAGAAATTTACTTTGAACTCCCAAACATTATATCTTTTTTTAAACCAATAACCCTAGAAAATAAAATGGTAGGTGTTGCAATTTTTTATGTATTTGCGCTGGTTTTTAAAACACAAATTTTTTGGAAAATATACACTTTTTTAATATTAATGCACAAAAACACAATATATTGCTCAATTGTCTGATAACATATAAAAGACAATGTTACACCGAGCAAACAGATATAAAAATTACATGCTATAAAATTGCGCACGCCCGTGCAACATTGTCAAACTACTATACACTGCGGGCAGGCAGTCGGCAAGTAGTTTAAAAAAAAAAGAAACCCTTAAAAATTAAAAAAAAAAAATTCTCAATGCAGCCATTTTTTATTTATTTAATTTTTTTAACAGTTACATTTTTTTTAAATACTTTTATCAGAGTAGTACAATATTACTACAGTACAATGTTACAACTATATAAACATTGTACTACTCTAAGGGGGGTCATTAGGGATTTTTTTTTTTTTTACACTTTGCTTTGCAGAAGCCATAAAGATTATTACTCCTGCAATGGAAAGCTTGCTTTGAACTGTCATGAATGGGTTAAATTCATGACAGTTAAAAATAACAGTGATCTGTGATTGGCTGGAGATGGTCACGTGGTACAGGGTGCTGTGATTGGACCCATGTATAATATGAGAGCTGTGGGCCAATAACAGCTCACCAGGAAGAGAAGGAGAGCATAGCGATCACATGATCTCTGGGTCCTGTTCACCAGGATCTTCATTCCGCTGCGTCCAGTGGACACAGCGGTCATGGATGGGGAGTGATGCTTGCTCGCTTGGGCACACAGCACCCCCCTGTGTTAGTACAGCCTGTACTGTGCCCACAGTCTCTGGTCATCTGCTGTACTGTGTCCACAGTCTCTGGTCATCTCCTGTACTATGTCCACAGTCTCTGGTCATCTCCTGTACTATATCTGCAGTCTCTGTTCATCTCCTGTACTATGTCCGCAGTCTCTGGTCATCTTCTGTACTATGTCCGCAGTCTCTGTTCATCTCCTGTACTATGTCCACAGTCTCTGGTCATCTCCTGTACTGTGACCACAGTCTCTGGTCATCTCTTGTACTGTGTCTGCAGTCTCTGGTCATCTATTGTACTGTGTCTGCAGTCTCTGGTCATCTCCTCTACTATGTCAGCAGTCTCTGACCATCTCCTGTACTATGTCCGCAGTCTCTGGTAATCGCCTGTACTATGTCCACAGCCTCTGGTCATCTCCTGTACTATGTCTGCAGCCTCTGGTCATCTCCTGTACTATGTCCGCAGTCTCTGGTCATCTCCTGTAGTACATCCGCAGTCTCTGATCATCTACTGTACTATGTCTGCAGTCTCTGATCATCTCCTGTACTATGTCTGCAGTCTCTGGTCATCTCCTGTACTATGTCTGCAGTCTCTGGTCATCTCCTGTACTATGTTTGCAGTCTCTGGTAATCTCCTGTACTATGTCCGCAGTCTCTGGTCATCTCCTGTACAGTGTCCGCAGTCTCTGGTCATCTCCTGTACTATGTCCGCAGTCTCTGATCATCTCCTTTACTATATCCGCAGTCTCTGGTCATCTCCTGTACTATGTCTTCTGTTCATTGGTTCAGAATATTTTTTTTCTTGTTTTCCTCCTTTAAATCCTGGATGCGTCTTATGGTCAGGTGTGTCTTATGGAGCTAAAAATACGGTAGTTAAAAGATACCCATTACTGCATCATTAATAGCAGCATGCATGACTTCATCATTCATTTTTCTGCTTATATGAGGATTGTGTACAGATCTTTAATGCTTACTATGCTCACTGAGATGGCTCCTTTGGAGCCAGGAGTGTCTAATCACGCCATTCTAAAAGGGCATTTGTGATGACTGCAGCTACTGTAGTAGAAACACTCGTATCATTCCTTCTAATGGTTCTACTATAATGAACTTTTGATGATGCTGCTCTATCTACATACTTCAACATGATGCTAAAAACTGCGGAGGTGCATCATTATTGTTTCAAATGATTGACTCATTGCTACTGACACCATGTGATTCTTCACATATATGACAAGTTTTATCCATAGGGATTTTCTTTTTTAATACTTGTTTTTGAAGGCTCAACTGTTTTCCTTTAATTAGCTTTATTTTAGTAGCTTTTCTGTAGTTACAACAGAAATAGTAAGCCGTTGTTTTAAGTTAAATGCAGTGTACATCTCTGACAGGCAACTATTTTTAAAATACAGCATTAGCTCAGAATGTATATGATAATGAGAGTTCTAAAATTTACAATGTACACTACTTAGAAATTAGGAGACAACCAGAGATGATGGAGGGGCCTAAAGGGAATCAGGCACTGGGAAATAATAAAGACTGCCATAGCTGAACGCTCATTTTAAGAATTCTAGTTCCTTGGCCATCATCTTGATGCTTTTGAACTTCAATGCTGTCTCTTTCCAGGACCAGGTGAAAATTTTGAATTAGGGAATGGACACTTCTCTCACCATTATTTACATCATGCTTGTTCTAGGTCTGTGGTATAAAAGTACTTAAGCTAGGAAAAGCCAGACATTTAGCATTTTCATGAGTATGTCAGGAATGACAGGCCCCATGACAGAGTCATTTTAAAGTGTTACTAAACCCATAACAGTAAACTCAGTCTGTATATGAAGTAAAACATGCTTGTTATACTCACTGTGGAACCTAAGGGGTTAATCATTTGCATTGTTTAAAAATTCTGTTTGATCCTGAATTCTCTGATTCCTCCCCTTCTTCCAGTGTCCCCCTCTTATCCCCTGATAAGACGTATGTGTGGAGACACTCTGCACATGCTCAGTTTAGTGTGTATTGCAAGAGTTTTTTTTTTTTTCCTTGAGAGAGTACATGTGATCATCACAGGGCCAATCAGTACTGTTCAGACAGAGGTTGGGGTTTTGCATTCTCCTAAAGCAGAAAGAAATCTCCTTCTACAAGCATTAACCAGTGCTCTCCTGGACACTGATAGAAGCAACAAGACTGCTCTTAGGCTAGGTTCACATCTGTGCGGGTGGTGCTGCTGTGGATCCGTGCAGCCGCACCACCTGCACAGAGAAATGTGGACCCGTGGGCGGGTGCCATTAGTTCTAATGGCACGCTGCCCGCACTGGAAAACGCAACTGGAATGGGGAACTGAGGTTCCCGTGTGGGCTGCGTTTTCGGAAGAAGTGTAGGGACTTCTTCCCTGCGTGTCTTGGGCAAGGGAGTCCATTCAAATGAATGGGCTCTCATGCCTGTGCAAAACACGGCCCGCATGGCCGCATATATATGAACTGGGGCTAACTGCTGATGAGAAAAGGTATTTTAAAAGCAGTTTATATTTACTAAAATAATTGCATTTCCATGTAGTGTGTATTGTGGGAGAAGAGAGAGAGTGAATGCAGAGTCCTGAGATTATTAACACTTTAACTACCAATATGATAGACACAATAGAAGATATAGTGAACAACATAAGTTCCAAATGATAAAATGAATGCATCTTGATACCCTAGATCACAGTGAGGTCAACAGTGGTTCTTCAACTAGGATCCATCTGGCACTGAGATTTCAGAGTTGTGCAGAATTAACCCATGGTGAATTAACTATTTTTCTCTTTTGAAGCCTTCCTTTAGTTGAAAGAATGGATTTTTCTCATAAATTCATAACCTTTTCATATAAAGCATGAACTACAGCAGGATCCATTAATCTATAAGACCCATGAAGGCTGAAGAAAATAATAAACACGGATCATGGCTCAGATGTCACGGTATATTTACTCTAGGCAATTTAATAATATTTTAGAATATCTTCTCCTTTATATTGTAGCTATCCAATCCAATGTTTTCTATAGCTTTGGTTGTTGTTTCAGAGGAATCTTCAGAGAGTGGATCCCTAACTTCTGGTGGAGATTTTTTATAACTAAAAGTATTTTCTAACCTCTCTGATAATCTGGACTGTAATAGGACATAATATATTATGCTTTGTAATTTTGTGCACAGCATATCAGACTTGGAGTATATGAAAGGTTTACTAGATCATTAGTTCTGATTTCAGTATCTAAGATACTATTGAATTATTAATTGGGAAGAAAGCATGAATATTACTAGTAAGCACAGTACTATAGCCATAGGCTTACAAGACTATGTTTTGTGATTTCAATATCTAAGATCATTCTTTAAAATCCCTGTACAGCCTGTAAAAGTGTTTCATTAGGTTTTGTCCTAGTAAGGTTATGTAGCTCCACCAAGGCATGTACTGCATAACATAAACATTAATTGGTAGGAGCACAAGTGCCCACAATTGGCAAATGTTTATGATCTCCTTCACCTGCTGTGACACTTTTGGGAATGGGAACAAGACTTCAGAAGGTAAAGGGAAAAGGGGCTGACTAACAAATGTATGCAGCATCCCTGATTTATGCAACATCTTATATCTGCACTAATAATGACACTCCTTGTACAGAGCCTAATTTATTAAAGTGCTGTGTGAGATACAGCATTAAAGTGACATTAAAGGCTCCTTTTTTAGTTAGATAGCAAACATGTTATACTTACCTGCTCTGTGTAATGGGTTTGAACAGAGCAGCCCCAATCCTCCTCTTCTCCGTTTCCCCACCTGTGTTCCTGGTCCCTCCCCCCTACTGAGTGCCCCCAGAGAAAGTCACTTGCTCTGGGGACACTCGTGCCTGCTCACTCCCTAGCCCAACTCTGTGTGTCTATTAGATAAACACAGAGCGTGGCTCAGCCTTGCCCCCTGCTTGCTCCTCGTTGACTGTGATTGACAGCAGTGGGAGTCAATGACTCGTCAAGCCAAGTTCATATTATATGAAATAATCAGTGATAGTGAACAATTCAACTCTTCACAGCTCATTTGCTTCTTCATGTGCTCAAAACCCGCACCATTAGATAAGTGCTAGAACCATGCAGGCCGTGTCACCTCAGTGCTCATAGAACTCTCACCTCAGAGAAATCAAATTGCACTTAATAATGCCACATCAGGAAGGATTCCTTCACTCTGCTGATCATTAGCCTTGTAGAAATGGTCAAACATCTTTGTACTTTAACCGCTTGTCTTCTGGGCACTTCTACCCCCTTCCTGCCCAGGGCAATTTTCAGCTTTCAGCGATGTTGCACTTTGAATGACAATTGAGCGGTCATGCAACATTGTACCCGTATGACATTTTTATCATTTTTTTTACACACAAATACAGCTTTCTTTTGGTGGTGTTTAATCGCCACCAAATTTAATCTATGAGCACTGAGGGGACATGGCCTGCATGGTTCTAGCACTTATTTAATGGTGCGGGTTTTGAGCACATGAAGAAGCAAATGAGCTGTGAAGAGTTGGATTGTTCACAATATCACTGATTATTTCACATAATATGGACTTGGTTTATGGACATTCATTTTTAATATTTAGTGTATACTAAACTTTATACACCTTCATATATGCTTTTTGTTCATTTATTTATTTGCAGCGCAGCATTGTTTTATTTATGTTTATCATTTAGTTGTGGGAACACAATTTAATGCTAGCAGCAGCTCCATTTCACTACTATTAGTCTTCACCCTTTCTTTTTGTAAATTCACTAGTTAGCGCAGGAGATTTTTTTTTATTTTGTTAAGTCAATGGCTTCTGCTGCTTTGTCTCAGCCAATGAGGAAGGAGAGACCTGGGAGAGCTGAGGCTCCCATGCACATCGATGAATCTAGATTGGGCTGAGGTACGTATTGAGAGGGCTGTGGGGGGAGCAGCACACTGAAGGGTTTTTAACTTCATGTATAGAATGCATGAAGGTAAACAAAACCTTCAGCCTTTACAACCACTTTGATCTAATTAATTAAACTCTGAAATTAATTAAAATAAAAAGCTACTGTATATTGTACAAAAGGAGCTCTATGTTTCCATAGTGTCCTTGCACATTATTTAAGGTTCAATGTGCCCAAAGATGTGCATGCACCTGTTGATTTCTTTAGAACTGAAACAATTTTATGACAAATTTCAGCCATGTCATATAATTCAGATCTGCGTTCTGAAGTCTAAACGTCTATGTCTTACAAGAGTATAAAATGTTATAAAAAACATTCCACTTTGTGGCAGCGAAAAGCTTTTCTCTGTGTAAACTTTACATACAACAATAATACAGCTTGATTTCCTACTCAAATGTAATCAACATATATGATAATAAGATTTTCTTTTCTGAATTGTATTTTGCGTAGGTTTAATGGCCTGCATATCTATGCTTATTATATTTGAAGTTAATTTTCACAGCTATCTATTTAATGATTCACCATTTGCCCCCAATAGAACGTTTGCAGAACATATAAAAGACTGTGGCATTTATTTTACAACACCATGCTCATTATAATTGC